TGTGGAAGCACACTTCTCTGAAACAAGGACTAAACCAAGCAAGGAAAACAAAAGGACATAACTCAGGAGACAGATGAAGCCCAGCAGTGGCAGACAGCATGGAGAGCAACAAACAACTTGATGTGCAGTCACAACCCAACTCCAAGATTCTCAAAGGAGCTGTTCCTAGCAGAGTAGATTAACTGTGCAGGAAATACTCTTATAGGTGTTTTTTTTTTTTTTTTCACTTTTGTAGTGAGTTTTGGAAAATCTAGTAGAACAGAGAAACTTCCAAGGAAACAAAAAGAAAATCAACAAGAAAAGCAGAGCTGCATGAAAAGTGACTTGCAAGGGTGGCAGCCCAGGGACTACTCAATAACAAACTGCTCCATCTTCAAGGAAAGGTTAGAGGGAGCACGCCCCCCTCCCCACAAGGAAGTAGGGGGAGGGGCTCATGTTTCCTTCATTGTTTAATATAATAATTCTTCAATTAAAAAAAAAGACAAACATAAGGGGAGCTGTTGAGGTGCACTAAGTCTTAAGAAACCTGTCTACGGTCACACCACCCAGAATGCACCCGATCTCCTCTGATCTTAGAAGCTAAGCAGGGTCAGGCCTGGTTAGTACTTGGATGGGAGAAACCTAAGCTCACGGGACTCACCCAGGCATTTCTTAACCTTTTTTAAGCAAATGCTTTGACCATTTGATGTAATTAAACAAATATAAGCCAGACGTGGTGGTACATGCTTGTGGTTTGTGTTCAAGGCAAGGCTCAGCAACAGCGTACAATGGTGTATGTGTGTGATACATAGTACATGTTATATAATTTTTTATATAATTTTTATGGTAGGATTAAGCAGCTTGATTAACTACATCCTACCCAGTCACTGCCTACATCTCTCATCCTAGCTTAAAATTGTATAATGAAGTGATGTCTCGAATATATTATGTATTCCTTTAATTTTTTTTTTTTTTTTTTGGTATGGGTTTCCCTAGGTGGCCCATACTGCCTCAAACTTGTGATCCTGCTGCCTCAGCCTCTCAGGGAGCTGGGATTACAGGTAAGTGCCACTGTGCCCAACTCAAGCACTGTACTTCAACTCATCTCTTGGTACAATGAATGCAGAAATCCTGGCTAGATTCCTATTATCTTGGCCAGATAAGCATTAGTTCCTAAAATGTTCCAATAGGTCACAAGTGTTTCCCTGAATGTGAGAGCCAGGAGTATTTATAAGCTTATCCAGAACCTGACTTAGAAGACGGTAGGGTCAGCCAGGTGAGGCAGTGCACACCTGCAATGCTAACACTTCATAGGGCTAAGACAAGGACCATAAGGCCTAGCCCAGCCTGGCAATCTGGTGATTTTGTGAGACCTCATCTCAAAATTTAAAAATTTATAAAAGGCTAAGGATGTAGTTAAGGCCCTGGGCTCAACCCCAGTACTAAAAGGAAAATAAAGAACATGCAAAGGGAGGGAAGGGTCATGCTTTGTACTGCCAACTTTCTAGAAATCTTCTAATTAGAAGCTTTACAGTGTAATACATTCAAAATGGCACCTTGACCCCATTTTAAAAACATTTATCTTTTAAAAATGCTGCATGTGGAGCTGGTGAGATGGCTCAGTGAACTAACCACTGATTTGGTAAGCGCAGGGACCAGGTTTGATCCCAGCCCCGGACCTGATCCCAGGGCACTCTGGGTAAGCATCTGAGTCCTGGCTTGGTAGTGAATGCCTATAATCCCTGTAATCCCAGCACTAGGGAGGCTGAAAACAGGAGGAAATAGGAGGACCACTAAGAGTCCAAGTAGTGAGACCCTGTACCAAATACATAAAAAAAAAAAAAAAAAAAAAAAGATGCATGCTCTTTGAAAACCTATTGTCCTTTTTTTTTTTTTTTCCAGAACCGGGGATTGAACTCAGATCCTTGCATTTGCCAGTCAAGCACTTATCCTACTGAGCCATCTCCCCGGCCCCATGTCCTTTTTTTTTGAGACAAGATTTCACTATATAATTCAGGTTGGCATTTAACTATGTAACCTGGGCTGGCCTCCAACTCATGGTGATCCTCCTGCCTCAGCCTCCCAAATGCTTCGGTGGATGATAGGTAGATACCTCCATGCCCAGCTTTCTATATATATTTTTTGGTGGAACCAGGGATTGAACTTAGGCCCTTGCACTTGCAAGGTAAGTGCTTGCTTGTTCCACTGAGCTATTTCTCCAGCCCCACATTTTTTTTTAACTATGTATACTTTCAGGTTATTCATTCATTTTTATTTTATTTTATTTTATTTTATTTTATTTTATTTTTGGCAGAACCAGGGATTGAACTCAGGCCCTTGCATTTGTCAGACAAGCATTTATTCTACTGAGCTATCTCCCCGGCCCCTTCAGGTTATTCAGATCAAAAGAAAAACAGAAGTTTAGAAAAGGGAAAAATAAACATTAAAAAGTTTATTTCTAGCCCTGAATAGCAAAATTATTGAATGAAGTCATCAAATACAGCAGTTAATGTTAATGCAACAATTAAATGGAATTAAACTAATAGAAGAAAATATAAAATCTGAAGACAAAACAGGCTATTTTCACTTAACTGCATTTCTAAATCTCCCAAAACAAGAGGGTGGGGCAACACGTTCCAAATAAAGATGCTGAATTTAAAACACAACCCTTTTTCATAACATAGAATGAAAAGTTGACAGGTTTATCATACATGTCCTTGTGCCATCCTCTTGGAATTGCTCTAGAATGGTGTGTGAAAAAGTCTTTAGTCCTTTCGAGGCAAGGCCAATGGCTGACTCCTCTCTACGGCTCCAGTGGCATGAAACAGCGTTTCTCTGCCAATGTTGAAGAAATGTGCTGGATGAGAGGAAAAGCATGTGTATGTGTATTTCTTTCTTACATATTATCACATGCTACGGAGAAACTGTAGTTACTTTTAACTATCTATTGCAGGAGCCATGGAAACAAGGCAGACATGTTTTTTATATTACTATGAAATTCCACAATCAAATTAGTATTTGGTTCTATTTCAATTAGAATCAGCAACACACTGACATTTTCCTGGACACAAGTCTCAATATATTTAAAAAATGTTAGATTCAATAATTGATGCAAATTCTTCTAAGGTTCAACTTTTTTAAAACTATAGTTGCTGCTGTCTGGTCAGATCTAAAATTATTCTGGTGGGAATACAGTATATAAGAACAAATGTGGTTTTAAGTGAGTCCTAAGGAGAAATACTCATAGGTAGATAGTCCACAGCTGCTTGTTAAAGGCACGGGTTTAAGACTGGTGGTTACTAGGTAAGTTTTAAGCAGCTGACTATGTTGAAGGGAAGAAAATTCATGTTTGGTGCCAGGCATTCAACACAGGAAGTCAGAACTTGACAGCCATTTGTCTTAGGCCACACAACTGCTGTACTTGTTTACTCTTCCAGGTGGGATAAAATGCTCAGTGTTTGCATAGTTTCCCAGTTCTTCGTGTTCCCTAATAGCAGCAAAAGGAACAAGAGGGGAAGATAACTTTAGGACACCAAAAAGTCTAAAAAACAATAAATAAGTCCTACACTAACATTGTCTTAGTAATACAAGATGACAACTAAGTAACTTTTAGATTTAAATAGAAATTATTATTCTAAAGTGATGACCAAAAGGGTGAATACAAAAGGCAATCATTACAAAACCATGAATCTTGATTCAGATATAATTGTTCTTTCAACAAGATCTGAACATTTTAATTTGAAATTAATAAATCACAATTCTGTATTGCTTTTAAGATTATTTTGTTTAAAAACCACACAGTTCAGAATTATCCAAAGTATATTTCAATGACAGGTTAGTTTATCCAAGTAAGTAAAGAATAAACCACAGTGCAGCTCCCTTAACCTAGGAGTCAGGTTTTAATGACAAAGTCCGTTGCCAGCAATGGACATGCAAGTAACCATCAAAGAAGTGGCAAATACGAACCCCAACTGCTTCTACTGACAGCAAAACCCTGTGTAGAGTCAGGCCGTGATGCGGGGCACTGGCGTGGGCTTCCTGGGCTGGTTTCAAGTTCGGGATGGATGTGCCTTCATGGGCGCTTGGGAGGCTCAGTCTCCTCATCTGGCTGGCTGCTCTTTCTTCAGCATCAGGAAGCCAGAAAATGGCTGACAGAGGGTGTGCAAATCCAGAACTGAAGAGGCGCCACAGCTTTCCATGGGAAATTGAACAGCTTATTTCTATAATTTAGGAATGGCTGCAGAAGCCAAATATAGTCCACAAAAAAATGAAATCACGAAGCAAGATTGAAAACAAAGGCCATTAAGTGCTTTAGATATGAAGTTTCACTGGATGTTGTACTAATTTTTCTGAATACTTCAAGCATTATCAATAAAAAACAGCCATTTCTCCTTATACCAGTATCTTACCACAGATATGATGGCAATAACAAAATAAAACCCTGCTAGTTTTTCTCAATATACTCCAAAACAGCAAAATTATCTTAATTACCAATTTATACTACTACAGGGGGGCCAGCAGGTGTGAAGTTCATCAGCAGAGGGCAGTGGGACAAAACGCCAGAGTCAACCACAGCCGGCACAACAGAAAGGACAGTGCCTCCTACAAGAGCAAACAACAGTAACAGCAATAAAAGTGGGAAAAGAGCAGAGGACAGAACAAGAGGGGAGCGGAGAAGAGTGGGCAATCTAATAATTAATGCTACAGGTCACAGACCTTTTATTAAATCTTTAAAATAAAAAGTATCACTACCAATAAGAACATTTTATTTTTTCCCTAGTTTTTTTTAACATGAATATTCTCCACTTATTTGTAAAAACATTAAAAAAACATAAAATAATTCAACATCACAAATCATTCATGAATCCATCAACTTTTAAGTCCTAATAGTAAAACACTGGCAATGGGCTAGAAACATTGGAACGTACGACAAATTCTTATAGTTTGCCAGTCACAGGCTGCATGTCTATAATACTGACATTTCTCTCATGATTCTATTTTAGAACTCACCAAGGTTCAAATCTTGTTTTTGCTAGCCCCAAATATATTTCCTTTTAAAGGGGAGAAGAAAAGTCAACTTTTAAGTTCTGAAAATTCACTGGTTATGGTATAATGTCCATAGGAAGTATGGGAGTTTGTGAGAAGTGAGACAGGGTTAATCAAAACACCTAGAGTTGCAACATATACAGAAACATATTTCCAAGACAAGGGGAAAGGGAAGGCAGTGGCACCAAACAAAGTCATGAGGCCCAAGTTGGAGCAAGAACAAATAACTTTGGTTCCAGAAGCCAAATCTGAAGAGAAAACAAGTTGAAAAGGAAGACAAAATTGTACGAATGTATAGTGCATGGAATTCTTTTTCTGGTTCAATGATTTAGTTATAAATATAGATTATTAGTCTTTCTATACATGTAACAAATGCCAAACTCACAGGAAATTTCTAAAAATGACTTTCACATTTGTTAAAAAAAGTAAAAATTACATACGTTTCTTCCCCTTCCTTCAGTTCAAGTTCTGAGCCAAAATATTACACATAACAATAGCTGGTCCTAACTCTAAAAAAGGTGAAACTGTATCAACCTCCTTTGTCAATATAAAGAGCTACATAATTTCTATGATACTTGCCTTGAATTTAGGCATGAGAAAAACTTCTCAGAGCAAGTCAAAGGAAAGGAAAGCTATGAAAGAGAACACAAGACCAGCAGATGAAACAAATACTCCGAAAAACTCGAATCTACCATTCAAGTATTGAAAACACCCCAAAGGAGACAACGAACAAGATCTATTGTAACAAAGTCAGCAAAGTAGAATGCAAATAGCATGATAAATGGCCTGCAAGGCTGTCTGCTATGTAAGCACAGTGATTCAGTCCACCACTTCTTTTGGACCCTAAAGAAGGGGTTCATTTGAAAGTCATAATTCTCTTTTTGCAACTTTCTCTCTTGGTTGTCTTCAGGGACTAGTTGTGTTTTTCCTCTGTGTTATGCAGACCATCTCCTTAACCCCCCAAAGAGTACTCATTTTCATATATTAAAAGACTTCTTTAGAAAAACGGAGAAGAGTGCGAGAACACAGCCACCCTGCTAACGGTTGCTCTTCATTGCTTCTTTTGCCGCCATGATCAGTGGTGTCAGGCTCGATAACGGTTTGGCCAATTTCAGGAAGGGGTGCTGCCAGAACGGGGGAGGACAATGAATAAAAGTCATCAGCTTCTTTCGACTAGGCCTCAAACACTACTTCTGATCATAATTTATTTACTAAACTAAATACATTATTTCAATATCTGACAAATCCCTCATAATCAGTCTACCACTTTTTTTTAGGCAGTGTCTTGCTATGTAGCGCTGGCTGGCCTTGAACTCATACAATCCTGCTTCAGCCTCGCTAGTGCTGGGGTTACAGGCGTCTGTCATGACACTCAGCAGCATAGGGGCTTTGTAGTCAGCAGTAGAGCTGTTTTAGTATTTCTAATTTCATGTAATCTACAATTAAACTGCCTATAAACATATTCATGCCAGCACTGAAAGGTTGAGAATAGTATGTAAAAAATATAATTATGGCATTAATGAATTTTACTCTTAGTAGTCAGAACCCTAAAAATGTAGCAGCTGCTTTATTCCTGGTGGTCAATGAATACTGAAATATAATTAATGTTATGAAAGCTTTCTGTTGCTTACTCAAAAGAATGAACTTTTTTCAATAATGGCATCATTTTCAAATTTACCTGTAACAACTCTTTGGCTGAACCCCTTTTCTCGACATCCATTTCCAAACATCGATTTAAGAAATCCCGAAATATTGGAGACAGTTTCTCTGGATTCTGAAGTTCTGGAGTTCCATTAGTTGCTATCAAGTACAAGGCCTGGAAACAGAATAACACCTTCAGCATATTTAAAGTATCTGAACAAAGTGAGCATCCTTTATTAAATCCATGAGCCTCCTCCTCTTCTTTTCCCCTCCGTGGTTAAGAGTTGCCCAACTTGGGCAACTTTGCAGATCCTTTCTCAACATAAAGAAAGGGGAGGGGAGGGGAGAAGAGGGGAGGAAGAGAGGCTGCAGCTCAGGACAGAGACCCAGAGTTCAATCCCCACGATTTTTTTTAAAAAAAGTAAAACATTTAAACATTTACTCTTTTCTCAAAATTCTCCAGTGGCTCCCTCATCTTAACCAAGTAAAAGCTAAAATTCTTCCCAATGCTGCCACTACACAGTGCCTTGCCTCAGGGATTCACCTTCCTCCCCAGTATGCTTCGTATACTTGAGTACTGCTGAAAGCTGTTCATGATCTTCAAGTGTACCAGAACATTCCTGCTGCAAGGCTTTGCACTTGTTATTCCTTGTGCTATAACTAACTTTTCCCCGGGTAAGCTTTCTCTCACCTCCTATATAAAATGCCCGTTTCAGAAAGCTTCTCCCAAGCATCCCTTTAAAGTGAACATGTTTGACTGGGGAGATAGCTCAGTAGAATAAGTGCCTGCCTGGCAAGCACAAAGTCCTGAGTTCAATCCCCAGTACCAAAGAAAGAAGGGAGGGAGGAAGACAAAACAAGACCGGACCGGACCGGACCAGACCAGATTCTGGCCCTCTGCCTGCCAGTCACAGCACTTAGGAGTCCATCACTTAAAATATCTGCAGTATTCCTATTCATTTTACTGCCTTCCTTCTCCCACAAGAATATTAAGTTCATGAGTTTGTTGGCTCTATTAAGTAGTACTTTGAACAGTACCTGGCACAAGGCAGGTACTCAAGTTAACATTAAATAGCCAAGCATGATGGCATGCTTGTAATCCCAGCACTCAAGAGGATGAGACGGAGGATCGCTGTGAGTTTGATGCCAGCCGGGGTTACATAAGCAAGTTCAAATGTAGCCTGTACTACATAATGAGAGCCTGCCTCAGAAAAGGGGGGTAGGGAGCAGGGATGCAGCTCAGTGCCAAGGCCTGGGTTCAATAATACTATAAGTAAGAAAAATCATACTATAAAATAAGCCATACAGCTCTTTAAAATCTACAAATGCCAGCACAATTCACAACACCTAAATCTTACAAGCAGTCTATATGTCCATCAACAGATCAATGGATTAAAAGAAGTGATGTTCGTGTTTACACACAATGGAGTACTATTCTACCATAAAGAATAAAGCCAAGTCCTTTGTAGGAAAAAGGATGCACCTCCCAGCTTCATGTTAAAGTGAAATAAACACACAAACAAGCTTAAATATCACATGGCTTCTATTGTATGAAAAATCCAAAACAGAAATAAGGAGTAAAATAAAAGACAACAGAAAAGAGCAAATTAGATCTTTAGCATACAGAAAGGTAACCAAGAGGCGGAGGGTGGAGGGAGGGGATGGAAACAGAATTAAACAAAACAAAAACTGTGATATATTGTATACATGTACCAAGTCCCCAAGAGAAATGTGATCATTAGGTGGTACAAATATGTATCCCTACATCCCCTGCAAAAAGGTGAAGGGGAAAAAAAGAATAAGCTGTGTCATGTACTAACTCCCCATGATGAGGTTAACCATTATTTACATTTTGGCCATTAAACAAAGCAAAACCCCTACAAACTCTTCAGCTAACATCTTCAGTTCCATAACCCAGGAGGCATATGATTTTTAGATGGACAACAAGGGCAGAAATTAGGTTTTATCACCTTTCTATTCTAAAATCTTGCCTGATTCCAGATGCACTAGAATGTTTAGGGAAAGCGTCCTCACAATGCAGCTGGTATTAACTGGCCTTACCCGCAAGGGGTTCTCATTGAGGTATGGAGGCTCTCCTTCGACCATCTCGATAGCCATAATGCCCAGAGACCAAATGTCCACTTTGGGGCCGTACGCTTTCCGTGTGACCACCTCAGGTGCCATCCAGTAAGGGGTCCCAACCATGGTGCTGCGTTTGCTCTGCTCAGGGGTGATCTGGGCACAGAAACCAAAGTCGGCTACAAAACAAAACAAAACAAAACATCTAGAATTAAAAATTTCAAGGATAGCTTTATCGAAAGAATTCACTTCAGATGATGTAATTATATTCTGACTATTCAGCCTTTTATCAGAATGTATTTAAAATACTTTGATACTACTAGAGTCAAAGTTACTAGTGAGCCTTTTATTTATTTATTTATTTATTTTTTTTTAATTTTTATTTATTTATTTGTGTGTGTGTGTGTGTGGCCAGCTCAGCCCACCAGGGGGCGCGGCTGGCTGGCATGTGGTGCTGGGGGATTGAACCGCGGTCCCTGTGGTTTGCCAAGCTTGTTCCAAGTAGGTGCTTTAGACCACTGAGCCATCTCTCCAGCCCTAGTGAGCCTTTTATCATAATTCATTCTGCCCTAAAAAGTTTAATACAATTGAAAGATATATGAAAAGGACAAAAATGACCAAAGGTGAACATCAAAACCAAATGCAACAAATTAGGGAGAGGTCAAAACATGAAATCTATGCTGAATAAAATAAATACAAAGTAGATGCACTGAACACCCAATTTAGAAGAGCACCTAGAGAAAGAACACACTTGAATGCTATGATGCTCCTGTCAGAATGCTGACTACCATTCATCTACTCCACCCACGTCAGCCACCCCACTATCTAACCAGGGCATGAGATGCCTAGGTAGTGCATCTCATCCCCTCAGCAAGCACAAGGTCCCGAGTTCACTTGAAGAAATCAGGATCAGAATTTAGAATTACCTCTTCTCTAAACACGTTCAACTTCCCCATAAGCAATATTAGTAATTAGACCTGTAAGCGTTAGTTTTTTCATTACGCATTAAGTTGAATAGTCTGTATAAACTGCTTGGTTTGTTTTATCTTACTAGGATATTTTGTAGTGTTTTCCTACAACAAATTTATTTTTAGAGATCTTTCCATCAGTGCATTTATCAGCTTTTTAAAAAAACTACAAATATTAAACTACATAAAAATATTATTCCGTTATTCCTCTACATCTCAACATTTAAGATGGCTTTAGATTTTCTAGATTTTCTTTACAGTGTTGCAAGATCCCCTTATACTTACTGTAGTTTATCTACTCAGTAACTCTATAAGGACAGAGTATTAGAGGAGCAACTTTTTAGGTAAAATAATAATTTATACAGAAAAATAAGTGCATGGGCTGGGGAGATAGCTCAAGGTGCTGATTTCAATCCCTGGTACCACATGCCATGCTGGCCCCACAACCCCAGACATACTGTGCTGGTACCAAAACCAGGTTTGGTGGCGCACACCTGTAATTCCAGCACTGGGGAGGCTGAGACAAGAAGATCACTATGCGTCAAAACTGCTTAGAGACTTTGTATCAACAAAACAAAACAAAACAAAACAAAACAAAACAAAACAAAACAAAACAAAGGGCTGGCCAAATAGCTCAGCGTTTTGATTAAAGTGCCTGTGCAGGGGCCGGGGGGGTTCAATCCCCAGGTGTGCTGTGCTGGCCCTGCCACCAGGGCATGCCGAGACGGCAATTGAGACTGGGTGTCACGGCAAGCGCCTGTAATCCCAGCTCTTGAGAGGCAGTAAACAGGCAAATCACTAGAGTCTGATCTTGAAGTGAGACCCTGAACACCCTGTAGACCCTGCTCTAAAATTAAAAAAAAATAATAAGAATTTTTTAAAAAAAGTTTTAAAAAAAGATAAAATAGAATAAAACAGGCTGAAAAAAAGAAAATGAGTGCTTGTAAGAAGCTAGGTATTACTCTGAGTGTCTTAGAGCAGTATTATTTTTCAGCTTTTCTCTGAGTTAGGAATTGAATCCAAGCCCTCCTCCTGTACACTAGGCAAGTGCTCTATCATTATCTATACTAAGCCTCAGGTATATTTCTTAAAATTATTCTCATTTTATGTGGTAAAATTGAGACAATTATCTTTTTAGATAATTCACTGATGGCCATTCATCTAGTAAGTGGCAGAACCAGCAGAAAATGTTGTTCAAAAGAATCTAACTCAGTTTTCATGTGTTATCTACTAAAAGTATAGGTGAATGTCTATTTCCAACTCTGCTGCTAAGATTAAAGAACAGAAATCTTCTATTTTAATCATTTGACTAAATAACCTTTAGAAGGTATAATTTAAAAACACGAAAGATAGAGACAGGCTGAAATAGGTGCCAAGCCTTTGGAAGATTACAAAAACAACTTTCTGGTTTCTTCATCAAAGAAATGCCTTTAGGGTCGGGGAGATGGCTCAGTGGAATATACGCTTCCCTGGCAAGCGCAAGGGCCTGAGTTCAATCCCCGGTTCCGCAAAAAAAAAAAAAAAAAAAAAAGAAATGCCTTTGATTTCAGCCAGAGAAATCTCAGTAGTTGTTCTGTTCTAGTCCCCTAGGGGGGAAGGTTGGAACTGAAAGGTAATGACCACAATGAAAAGAAGTTCAGGATTCCACTCTGCTTGGTAAGATCATTAAAAAAGTACATCTTTCCCTTGTCAAATAGAGGTCAGGATCATAAGGTGTGTAAAACTAACATGTCAAAAACAAAGTCAAGCTTTTGCCTAAAACAGAATCAGTTCTCTGATAGTCCTGGTACTGTTCCTTGGCACTGTTTTTTTTTGTTTGTTTTTGTCTTTTTGAGACAGGGTTTTGCTATGCAACTTAGGCTGGCCTTGAGCTGATTTTGTAGCTCAGGCTGGTCTCAAACTATCAACAGTTCTCCTGTCTCAGCCTCCCCTTCCTGGGATCACAGGCATGTACCACCACACCTACCAGTACCTTGTATCTTTAACCTCCAAAAAATTATGATAGGAAATACTATCTTTAGTGGATGAGAAATCAGATCCAATGAAATTTAGAAACTTGCCCAATATTATTTAGCAAGCAATAGCTAATCTATTAAACCAGGCCATCCAGTTTACAATACATATTCTTTATCACTAGATTCCTTTCCTCTCCATATACTAAATCACAAAAGTTTTAATACAAGAAATTAATTGATGCAGTGTGTTAATTATTGAAACTGTCCTACTGATTTGAAACTGTCTCATTGCTATTTATCAATAAAATTATGAAAAAAATATAAAAAAATAAAAAAAAGAAATTAATTGAATAAAAGACAGGAGATTATAATAAGAAACGAACAACTAACAAATCAACGTTATTTCTTCATTTGTTACTCACTAAGTTTAACCGATCCCTCCATTCCCAACAGCACATTGTCACTTTTGATATCTCTGTGGATCACTTGATTAGCATGTAAAAACTCCAACGCCTGTAAACACTGGACAGAAGAAAACACTTATCAATGAAACAATCCTCAAAAGTCTCCAACCCACAGGAGAAGACCCTCAATATTTAACATTTATAAAGGAAAAAAATACTATCTTATATGCAAAGTTACGGAAACAAAATGCTCCAATTAGTAAAATCCTTTCCCACCCTCTGATCTCACCCAGAAACAATATTAAAGAATGGTGGATCTAGGCCTTTCTCTGCCTTGATTGTTTTTCTTTCCAGATAGGACCTTCATATATTTGCCAGGCTGGTCTTGATCTCCTAGGCTCAAACTTTCAATCTTCCTGCCTCAGTCTCCCAGAATGCCAGGAATGTATGGTGTGTGTCACCATGCCAAGTTGCTCCAGTGTGCTGAATATACTGAGAACTATAAACTTGGAAAAAGTCGGCTGTATCTTAATTCATTACTCCCATGAGAACTGAATCATAAATGGACTCTGTACATCATTATAACAATTAAAAATCTCATTTGAAATACCATTCTACTTATTTAAGCAAAACAAATGCCTAAGAAATACTTATATATCAACTATGAAAAATTTAGAAAAACCCAAAGCATAATTCTTAAGCTTTGATGATTTTTTTTTAATGTATTTGGTACAGGATCTCACTATACAGCTCGGACTTTTATGATCCTCCTGTTTTCCACCTCCCTGGTGCTGGGATTGTAGGCAGTGTGCAACCATGCCTGGTCTCAGTGGCCAACTTAGCATGCCCACTGTTGGAATCAGCATAGCATGTGGTGCCAGGGATACTTTGATCAGTTTTTAAGTGACCTAGTATACTTCATTAAAGGATATCATATTCAGAACTATTAAGAAGCTATCTCCTTCCTCCAACCAGAAGGATGCTATTCCTTAAAAACTGCAAGACAGGCCTCGTGGCAAATGCCTTGATTCCAGTATGGGAGGCAGAGGTAAGATTATGGGCTACACAAGGAGCTCTAGGTTAGCCTGACTACAGAGACAGACCCTGCATCCTCTTGCAAAAAACAAACCAAAACAGTAACAAAAAAACTCTTTGTAACACTTTAAGCAAACCATTAACCTTAAATTTCATCTGTAGAAAAAGATATAGATTGAAGGAAAACTTTTTTTTAGCTTAGACTTAAAGAGTTTGGCAAAATTCTACTGGCTTAATAAGCAAATAGCAAGAGTAGAATTTCACTACTAAGTATAAGGAAACAAGTTTTTTCATCGGCAGTGGGCTCAATACAGCTAGGCAGTTTCTAGTACTTAAGATGAATACTCATATGTTTTGCTTTGTCTGAGATGGTTGTTTTCCTCCTACCTCAGCCTCCCACAGAAGGGTGTACCACCACACCCAGTTTCAAAAGCATCCTGACTGGATGGTAAACTCACAATCACTATCCTGAAATTTGCCTGTGAACTTGGCTCTGTAAAGGTCCATGTCTTATTCCTTTTTTTTTTTTTTTTTTTTTTGTGGAACCAGGGATTGAACTCAGGCCCTTGTGCTTGCCAGGCAAGTGTTTATTCTACTGAGCCCTCTCTCTGGCCCCCATGTCTTATTCCTTAACTATCTTACACATAAAGAAAGGGAAGCAGGGGTACAAGACAACTTGTAGAGAATGTATTCAAAGTGTACCATACAATAAAAATTCCTTGCATAGAAAAGCTTTCCTTCTTTGCACCTCTTGCTAACCCCTGCAGAAGTTACCTCAAAGGAATCAAACTCACCTCTCTGCACACAGCCGCAATCTGAGCTTCATCCATGCACGTTTCTGTGACAACATCTGTGAGTGACCCACCAGCCAGGTACTCCATGACTACAAACAACTCGTCTCCAACCAGGTAACTAAAAATGGAATGCAAAACACAGTATTTTTTTAAACTTAATTTATTTTTTTGAGCAGAATATATTTATTGGGGGAAAGAAAGCTCCTGTCCGAGAGAGGGACAAGAGGGGGGCCCGAATGGGTTATCTCCAGGCAATTTTATTTTTTCTAACCATGACACTCTATGATAAAGAATTATCACGTTAAGCACCATAATAATGAACTGTGAGACTTGACAGCTTGAGCTAGGACGAGAACTGGAAAGAGACTATGTAACAGCACAAAAAACATTGGTGATCTTGGATCATTTAAAAGACAAAGACTGCCTAAAAGTGTAGTATGACTGTGTACAAAGATTATTCCAATTAAGGTAATCCTCAAAGAGCCATATATAGTGGCATAAACCTATGATCCCAGCTACTTGGACAATGAGGTAAGAAGGTCAGCATGAGCAACTTAGCAAGACCCTGTCTCTAAATAGAAATAGGCATGTAGCTCCTGAAGTCTTCAGGGATATGGGGGGCACACAGGCAGACAGGCAAATGTACTAAAAACTTTTCTTTCTTTCTTTTGTCTTTCTGAGACAAGGTCTTCACTATGCAGCTCAGGCTGGCCTTGAGCTCACTTCTAGCTCAGGCTGGTCTCAAACTTGCAATGATCTCCTCCCTCAGCCTCCTGAGTGCTGGGATTACAGGTACGTGCCATTACACTTAGCCAAAAGTTTATTTGTTATGTACATAGTACCACAACTAGGGCTAAAGTATTAAAATATATTGCTGGGGGGGTAGGGAAATAGCTCAGTAGAATAAGCACTTGCCTGGCAAGCCCAAGGGCCTGAGTTCAATGCCGGGTTCCGCAAAAAAACGAACAAATATATATATAGCTGGGGATACAGCTTAGTAGTAGAGTAGTAATACCCATTACTACCAAAAAAGAAAAAAAAAAAAATCCTTTCAAAATGTATAGTATTCAGGCCACTACCACCCCCCAAGCTTTATGGGCTCACAAATGAGGCTTTGGGGAGGTGAATGCATGATGAGCTTGAGATACTGGATTAGCCCACTACTGAGTTTATAGCTAGGTATTACAGGGAGGAGTAAAGTCTGGTATAAAGAAGTGGATCACTGTGGGCATCACCTAGAAAAAAAATTATATGTATTTTTATTTTTTTTTTAATTTTTATTTATTACATTTATTTATTGTGTGTGTGTGTGTGTGTGTGTGTGTGTGTGTGTGTGTGTGTGCGGCCAGCTCAATCCACCAGGGGGCGGGGCTGGCTGGCATGTGGTGCTGGAGGATCGAACCGAGGTCCCTGTGCTTTGCCAAGCTTGTTTCAAGTAGGTGCTTTAGACCACTGAGCCATCTCTCCAGCCCCTATATGTATTTTTATATTAAGGGAGGAGGAAGGATTGATTCCTTGCTCCCTTGAAGCAGCCTACCTGCTGTGGTAAGAACTGTTTCTCTTCTGCCTTCCCACCCTGACTTGGAACAAGCCAATTATGGTCTGAAACCTCTACAAAGTGTGAGCCAGAATAAAGCTCTCCCCTCCTATAACTTGTAGGTGTTAGGTATTTTGTCCTAGCAATGAAAAAGTAAGACACGCATCGTACACAATTTTTTTTTTTTTTTGGCGGGGGGGGGGGGGGGGGGCTGAACATGCCTTCAGGGCATTTCTGGTTTGGCAGGAGTATCTGGGTTCGAACCAGTGCAACTTGAGCCTCACTGCTTTTTTTTTTTAAAATTATTTATTTATTTATTCCTTTAGTGTGTGTGTGTGTTTGTGTGTGGCCAGCTCAGCCCACCTGAGGGCGGGGCTGGCTGGCATGTGGTGCTGGGGGATTGAACCGCGGTCCCTGTGCTTTGCCAAGCTTGTTCCAAGTAGGTGCTTTAGACCACTGAGCCATCTCTCCAGCCCCCTCACTGCTTTTTTAAGCAGGCACTTAAACAACTGAGGTAATGGGCAGGCCCCCTGTACACAAATTTAAATATGAAATTTAAAAATGTGAAATATGGGCCGGCCAAATAGCTGAGCAGGTTGAAGCGCCTGCAAGCAGGTGCAGGGGCTGGGGTTCAATCCCTGGGCCTGCCGTGCCGGCCCCGCCCCGGGGTGAGCTGAGACAACAATTGAGACTGGTTGTGGTGACGCATACCTATAATCCCAGCACTTGGGAGGCTGTAAACAGGAAGATCACTAAGATCTAGTAGTGAGACCCTGAACACCCCATAGGCCCTTTCCTAAAAAAATACAGAAATAAGTATGTATAATAAAATCAGGCATAATCTTTACCTCTAATACAACCACTGTTATTATATTTTAAACATTTTTTTATTTTAATGTTTGTTTCCCTTCCTTTTTACTATCATTTTCCAGTAGTCTTTGCTTTATTCATATGTGAGATTTTAAAAAACAATTATATTGCTGGACACAGTGGCACATGCCCATTTCAACTACTTAGGAGGCTAAGGCAGGAAGATCCCCAGCCTGAGTAACCTAGCAAGACCCTGTCTCAAAATATACAGGAAAGGGTTGGGGTATAACTCAAAGTTACAGTACATGTCTAGCATGTGTGAGGCCTTGAGTCCAAACCTCATAGAAGAGGGACAGGAGAAGAGAGAGGAAGAGGAAAAAGGTACCTGAACAGTTTAATTCTAGGAACACAGTATCTACAATGAAGGCTAAAGTCTCAATAGAGAAGAAAAACATCTGTAACCATAATTTTCTAGTCTGTTTTTTTGGTATTTAACATCAATTATTTTTCTGTCTTTTTGAAACAAGGTGTCATTATGCAGTTCAGGTTGGCCTTGAACTCAAAGTGACCTCCTGCCTCAGCCTCCTGAGTGCTGGGATTACAGGCATGCACCACCACGCCTGGTATTTTAACATCAATTCCTAAGGCAGATGAGCTTTTCTTTTTCTTTCATTTTGAAGAGTAAACGATGAACTTTTCCTTGGGGGACTTTTTTTTTTTAAGGTACTGAAAATTGAACATAGTACCTTGTGCTTACCAGGCAAGCGCTATGTCAATGAGCTATATCTCCAGCCTCAAATGAAGTTTTCTTAAGCATACATAATTTTCCCATTATAAAGAGCATTTAAGGGACTGGGGAGATGGCTCAGTAGAATGAGCACTTGCCTGACTAGTGTAAGGGGCTGAGTTCAATCCTCGGTTCTGCAAAAAGAAAAAAGAAAAAAAACAACAACAACAACAACAAAAAAACCCGGCATTTAAAATAAAAACCAAAGGTTGGGCTAATGAGATAGCTCAGTGGTCTAAAACGCCTGCTTAGGGAAGCTTACGCAAGTGCTGGGACAGAGGTTAGATCCCTGGCACCACATGCCACACCAGCCCCCCCCCCAGGGTGGGCTGAGCTGCTCCTCCAAAAAAAATTAAACGCTTAAGAAATATGTGGCTAGTCACATCTTTGGGTCAAGCACAATTCTCAGCAAAACCACTCCTTAACATGACTGCCTCTGCCATCTGCATTGCACACAGCCACCAGCAGCAATATGTTTCCTTTCGTTGCCTTCTCACTTGCCAATGATATCCTTGTAGAAAAAGGACCTTCTTTAAAAAAAAGACCTTTAAACTGGAATGTGCTAATGACTCTGTGCTTGCCAAACAGGCACTTATGCCACTGGAAGGCAGACTTTTTTGAAGGTAGCTGAATCTATAATTTGTGATTGGTTTTTGTGTAATATATTTTTTTAATGTATTGGCCCAGGGTTTCACTATGCAGCTCAGACTCGTAGTGATCTTCCTGTTTTTAGCCTCCCCAGAGCTAGGATTATGGGCATGCACCACCACACCCCATCTCTGTAATTGTCTGTTTGCTTGTTTGTTTATTTTTTGTGGAACTGGGGATTGAACTCAGGCCCTTGCACTTGCCAGGGAAGTGCTTATTCCACTGAGACATTTCACCAGCCCTTTTTTGTTAAGTTTTAAAAGACATTTATTTTCCAGCAATGAATTAACAGTATTTAATCCTTTTTTTCCCCATAATTTTATTGAGAAACAAATAGCAATGACACAGTTTCAAAGCAAATTGGTAGGACAGTTTCAACAATCAACACACCGCATACATTCTTCCCAGTGGTTAATTGCTGTACAAGATGCGGACACGACATCCTATCCACAAACACCACTAGAACAAATCCCTCTATTCATTAAGAGAATGTAACTATATATCTATCCTAACCATTTTGAGTACACAGATACAAAATGGACATTCATCTGTATCCCTTTTGTTCAGTTCCAAGTTATTTGAATATTATAGGTGTGTTAACTCAGCAAAATATTCTAAAACAATCCAGTAGTCCATAATAGTATTGGGTCTTCCGCTT